AAAAGAGGATTTTATAAACAATTTTATATCAATAAATGTAACAACTTACTATATTTGTGTAATATAATAGTTTTAAGCAAATTCTTGATACATAGAACAACGTAGATGGATCTGATAGCTATTATCTTGAATGGAAAAATAAACAGGAACAAAAGAATACATACTGTGTGATCCTATTCACATGATGTTCTAAAGCTAATAAAACTAATCTATGATAATAAAATCAGATCAGTCACTGAACCTTGGGAGAGAATGAGGAATAGAAACTGCAAGGGGACACAAAGGTATTTCTGGGGTGATGGAAATGACCTACTTCTTGTTTGGGGCAAGGGTTATACAGGTGTACACAAACGGTCAGACCTCATCACATGGTACATTTAACACCTGGATTTTACAGAATGTAAAGCATATCTCAATAAAATAGATTTGTTTTTTAAAGCCAATTAAAGAAACAACCACAAAAATAGGAGCAATGTGATTCAGTCAGAAATTTTTTAATTATTTTTGGGGGGATTATTTTGTGATGGTTACATATAGAAAGTTAGAAAAAGAATATAAACATTGTTAAATATTTAATTCTTAACAAAAATACTTTATGTCTATTAAATACCTTTTTAACAGGATAGGAAATACAAACTATGGACCATGAAGCATGCTACTATAATTCACAAAGACTGTATCTTTCATTTATGATAAGAGCTAGCATAGTACCTTGGGAGACAGTTGTGTTACTGTAATAAACCTGGAGCCAGAAGACCTAGGTTCACATGATGACTATATGTAATGTATTAGCTTTATCACCTTAAACAAGTGACTTAATCTTCTTAGGTTTCAGCATCAACTACAGGGCTGATGTAAAGATTGTTGTTTTTGTGTGCCATCAAGTTAATTCTGTTTCACAGCAACCCTATAGGACAGCGTATAACTGCCCCATAAGGTTACCTAGGCTGTAATCTTTAGGGGAGCTGATTGACAGTTCTTTTCTCCCAAGGAGCTACTAGGTCGTTGGAACCACCAACCTTTTGCTTAGCAGCTGAGCATTTACCTATTGTATCACCAGAGCTCCCTGATGTAAAGATTAAAAAACCCACTGCCATCCAGTCGATTCTGTCTCATAGCAACCCCCACTGGGTTTCAAACGTTGTAAATCTTTACAGAAGTAAATTGTCTCATTTTCTTCCTGCAGAGCTGCTGGTGGGTTTGAAGTGCTGGCCTTTGGTTAGCAGCCAAATGTCCTACCCACTATGACACCAGAGCTCCTTAATGTAAAGATTCAAACCAAACCAAAAACCAGACTCACTGCCATCAGGTTGATTCTGATTCATAGCAACCCTCACTGGGTTTCCAAGGCAGTAAATCTTCACAGAAGTAGATTGCCCCATCTTCCTTCCATGGAGTGGCTGGTGGGTTTGACCCACCAACCTTCTGGCTAGCAGTCAAATGCCTTAGGCACTATGCCACCAGAGCTTCTGATGTAAAGATCAGGGGATATTATTTAAAAGTATCTGGTAAATCAGAAGAACTAGATGGTACCCGGCTACCAATGCCAACCACTCGGAAAGGGATCAAAACTGGAAATCCTAGATAGAGTGGAAGGCAAAATACGGAACAAAATTCAAAAACACAAAAATGACCAGAATTACTGCTCAAATACAGTCTGGTGGAACCCCCAAGACCATGGCCCCGGGTTACCCTTTGGGCCTAGAAATGTACTCATTCCCATGGATTGGCTCTCAGAACAACAAAACAGTAGAAAGACCTACATGCAGAACAACTACCACAGAGTGATGCACTCACCTGCTCTAGGGAGATCCATCCCTTAGAGCAATCAGCCATGAGACACCAGAGGGCAGTATTCACATAAAGGGAAGGCTGGACAGACAGCAATGCATAGTTAAGAAGGGCACAGGGAGTTAAGATAGTCACAGGGATGGGAGGGGAAGAAAATTTGTTATTGTTGGAGATGGTAATTGGGGCGTGAAATCAAATGTACACAAACTATTGAATGTAAAACAAATTTGCTCTGTAAATTTGCACCCAAAGCACAATAAAACTGTATGTGTGTGTATGTGTGTGTGTGTATCTGGTAAAGAAGACCACAAATAAAGTTATATTACTCACAGTAAGTCTCAATAGATACCGGTTAAATGAAGATATGAAAAAGACAAACAAGAATGTAAACAGGGAGAGGCAAGTAGACAGGAAGAGACCAAGGAAAAACATATTTCTAGTCACATTTCTTTTTTTTTCTATGAGTAGGAGAGGAGAGGGTACAGAACATATAGGCTTCCAAATCATGATGACCTAACACCATGTTCCTGTCATGAGTACTAGGTGATGGGTGGAATATTGTTGACTAATCTCCCAGAATGAATATACATTCATCCTGGCTAGAATCATACAATTCTGGGCTACCAATCCCTTGTCCTGGCAAAGAGCATGAAAGGGAGGCAACTTGTCAAACCTAAGACTGACTCCCAAGGGCCTTATCCAGATTCCTAAGAGTTGCAATGAGTCTTCTCTAACTACCAACCTTTGAAATACCAACAGAACTGAACAACCACTGTCCAAATGCTCCATTTTTCTTTATATTCAGATTTTTGGAGAATATGCACTAAATGAGACAACCAAAGGAGATATTTTCTAGATACAGTAGCAGTGACTAGACCAATAGGCTGTTAATGCCTAGTGGGTTGATTTTAGTAATTTTCCAAAGAATGATGCTAAGGCTAACAGTATTCAGAAAGTATGTAAGAGCATAAAAATCTAGAGAGTCAATGGATAAACCAGATTAAAGACCAGAGAATTTACATATATTTATTCAAGTATAAAATCAAAAAAACCAAATCCACTGCCATCGAGTCAATTCCAACTCATTGTGACCTCCATTGGGTAAATTCTTAACCTCTAAGGCTGTAAATCTTTATGGAATTAGATTGGCTCATCTTCTTCCTGTGGAACAGCAGGTGGGTTTGAACCACTGACCTTATGGTTAGCAGCAAAATGCCTTACCTACTATGTCACCAGAGCTCCTTCCAAGTACAGAACCCACAAAAGTAGAGCACTGACAATGTCAATATTCAATCATAATATGAGAGGTTATCCAACAGAAGTTTTAACTGAATGCTGTGGTGGATGGCACACAGAGAGGATAAGAGCTAAATAATAAGGAAGAAAGCGGCATCAGGGGAAATGTTCCTGAAAGGAGTGATACCTGTGCTGAATGTGGCAAGATGTTAAGGAGTTATTTGGGCAAAAGGCATTCTGGACAGAGACACAGCATGTTCAAAGACTCAAATGGTTTGGAAGATGCCATCTTCAAGGAACTGCAAGTAATTCTATATGACTGGAACATATGGTATGAAGGAAACATGATGAGACCTTAAAATGCACAAGCAGGGATGTTAGGAAGAATTCTTTTTTAAAAAATCAGGCTTGAGGTTAGGTGCCATCCAGTCAATTCCAACCCATAACGATGCCATGTGACAAAGCAGAACTGCTCCATAGGGTTCCCTGGGATGTAATCTTCACAGAAGTCAGGTCTTTCTCCTGTGGAGCTGCTGAGCACGTTCAAACCATCAATGCTCAACCAATGTACCATGAGGGCTCCTTGACATAAAAATTAAGGGATACTATTTAAAAGTATCTGGTAAGGCATTTGGCTGCTAACCAGAAGGTCAGCAGTTCAAACCCACCTGCTGTTCCATAGGAAGAAGATGAGGCAAAATAGTTCCATAAAGTTATCAAGTTATAATGCTCACAGTAAATTTCAATAGCCTGGTTAAATGAAGAAACGAAATAGATAAACAAGTACATGGTCAGAGAGAGGTAAGCATACAGGAAGAGACCAATACTTTAAATCAGGCTTAAAGATTTATATTTATCCTTGAAGATGAGGAGAAGCCATTGAAGGATTTTAGGCAAGCAGTATAACAATCAAATTAGCATTTTAAAAAGATCATTCTGACAACAGTGTGGAGAACAGATTGGATGGGGACAAAACTAGAGGCAGGAAAACTGCTTAGAAGACTGCTGAAGTAATCCCTGCGGTGTTAGCAGTGGTCTAAGGTAGCAGCACTCACAATGGACAGAAAAAGTATTGACATAGTAAAGAGGTAGAACACTCCAGAGTTGTTCACTGATTTATGTGAAGGTGAGAAAAAAAGAATCAAGCATGACTCCCAGGTCTCAAGCTTGGACGTCTAAGTGGATAGACCTGCTGTTCATGGAGATAAAGAATAAGTCAACCTATATTTGAAGGTATAAAAAGCAATGATACTGTACTAACTTAAGGAGCACTGGTGGTGCTGTGGTTAAAGCATGGGACTGCTAACTAAAAGGTCATCAGTTTCAACCCACCAGCTGCTTGCTGCACAGAATAAAGATGAGGCAGTCTGCTTCTGCAAAGATTTACAGCTTTGTAAACCCTATAGGGCAGTTCTACTCTCTCCTATAAGGTCACTGTGAGTTGGAATCAATTTGATGGCAATGAGTTTGGGGTTTTTTTGGGGTTTTTTTTTTGGTTTTTTTTTTTTTGGTACTAACTTAAAAACAAATAACACAAACAAAAGCAGAGGCTGCTTTAGATAGTATAGACACATATCTGTGACAAAAATCAAAAGCTTAAATTCAAAGAGAGGAATAAGTCAGAGTTAAAGGAATTCCTGTCTAATGTATGTTGATGAATGAATAATCAAAGAATAACACAGAAGACAATTCACTAACAAGAGAGCCATCTACTGCCTTTCAAGAATAGTGCAGCAATGAAATGACAAGAAACGTGGAAGAAAGCCAACTTTCTGACCACTTTACATTGTACAAAAATATGTGACACCTGCAAAAAAAAAAAAATTCCAAGTGGTCGGCATTTCAATAGCCAAGTGCTTTCACTTACTTATTCCTCCTAAAAACATCATTCGAATATAAAATATAATTTGAATATAAAACACTTACCTGCCATCATTGCTATCATGCTTGCTTTATAGACATTAGTAAGAGATCCAAGTTCTCCTGTTGCCAAGATGGTTTTGAGATGAGCCTCTCCACAGGCCTTGCGAAACTGACGAATCTCATCATAAAGGGCTGGGGGAGGAAATAATTGAAGCAGTTACAAGGCAGGCAAGTGATAACATAACTTGGCAGCCGTTTAGAGCTGGTAGGACCCAGTTCAGATTTAGGAAACATAAAACATTTGTCACTTTCTAAAAATCACCCCAATTTAATATTGCCTAGAGCATTCTGTTGCAGTTCACATCTTGTTACAAGGAATGCTTAGTTTGCTACCATAAAACTGTTTCCAAGCACTGGCCCTAGGTCCAGAGTCATGGAGCTTTTTAAATATCATTACAGTGACATTCAAATTACAAATAAAGTCTACCTCTCCCATATGATGGTCACTTATAAGAAAAAACAAATTTATCTAGTACACACTAATATGCCCCTCTGCAAACTATAATCAAAAATCAAGTCCTTATTAATTCTTCCACTCAGTTCTGTGGTTGGAATATAAAGAAGACCTTTCTGGAGAGTTCTGTTACTTATAATAAAGACATGGCAGCTTGTCCCACTATCTGCCTGCATGTGTTATCTACATATCTGCAGTGGTATCACAAGGATTGGTGCCACTGCAGGTATACAGTGCAGCTCATGGTGTTCACTCACCTCGATGGACCTCCTCCCATACCAGTTCATACAGAATTCTTACTAATATTGATTATCAATTTTAATCATAGAATAGTATGTGATAAATACAGTTGTAAATTGCTTAAATGTAGTATTTCTTAGACTATATGAATACTAACAACAAAATTGTTTTCAAAAATCTTTCTTCATTGAATTACAACATAATTAATTAAAACATGATTAGTAACTGAGTGGAAGACTTTTTTGATTTTTCCCCTTCTTTTCCTTCATTACGTCATTCCCCAAAAAGGTTTACAAATATTAATTACAACAGTATATCGCTAAAACACAGAAAATCTGATAAAATCAGTGACTAAGATAACATCAGCAGCAACAAAAACAACAGTACATTCATGTAACTCATACAGACAAAACCACATGATTTGAAGCATCATTATAATTGGGTAATAATGACAGCTCTGACCACAGTGCACCAGGAGGTCCAAAAAGTAAATTACTATAGTTTTAGCCTTACAAGTACGTTGGTACAAGTAAGCTAGGCTCTCAAAAAAAAAAAAAAAAACTGTTTTTGTTGTTGTGTAACTAATTATAGGGCTATTTTATTAAAAAACAATAAATTTCTGCTGAAACACTGCACAACAACTTTATTTACAGTCATTTTGATGCTACTGCCTCTGACAGTGTTACCCAGTACAGTTCACACCTGCCCTTGCGTCCTCCTAGGGACACCACTGCAATTCTGACTACAATGTATTAAGCCTAGCCAGATAGTGTTGGATACTTGTGTTAAAAAGCCATTTGTCATGGAGTTCAGTGATGCAGCCTTAAATTTATCAACTTTGACTCCAGAACCACATCTGCAGGTTTCCACATACCATATTGAAAACAGTTTGATTTAAAAAAAAAAAAAAAGAATAAATATTTCTATAAAAAATATATACACGGGGGGAGTTCCGGCAACATGGCGGACTAGGCAGAAGGATTGCACAGACCCTCTTCAACAAAGAAAAGGGAAACCAATTAACACAGACACAGAAGATA